CTGGGCCGGCCAGGCTCACGGTCGCTTCGCTTTGCCTCCTCCATGGCTGCCCGCTCTGCCTCGAGAGGTCTCCGGGCTCTGATCCAGCTGGCCTGACGGGCTCGCTCAGGAGAGCGCTGGTTTCCTGCTCAGAGGACAGAACACGCCCTGCCAGAGGGCATGCGGGCGCCACTCCTCTCCAGCGCCCCGGCCTGACCAGCAGAGTGACAAGTGCTTCCTAGCCGCCGTGCCGCCCTGTGCTCTCACAGCTACCAGCCCCCTTTGCCGGTGCCACAGGACAGTCTCTCGGGCTAAGGAGATCAAATCAAAGCTTCTGGAACGCCGAAACACAACTCAGCACTTGGGGTTTTACAGACGGAGCCAGCACCAGCACAAAACACACAAGGTCCTAAGACCATTCCGGGAACTCCCGCTGCCGAGTACCCGATGCCAAGGCCTGCTCAGCCCATGTCCGGGGGGGCATTCACCTGGCTGCCTCATTTTGCTCTTGGCCAATTGTTCTCCAGGTTCGGGATGGCTGGGCTTCTGGTGGGCGGTTTCCTGTTCCTTCCTCCCCTGGCAAGAGGAATGGGGAGATGGAAATACAGGCCTGGAGCTCAGTCTCGGGGGTGGTGTGGCTCATTTCTGGCTCCCTGGCTCTGAATCCAGGAGCACAGATGCCGGCAAGGTTTCGCCCAGAGTGAGGGAGTCCGTGTGTTTATGTGTGGGAGCAGAGAGCACGCGTGTGTTTTGCAGAGGACGACGTGTGGATTTCCGAGAGGACGTGTATGAGTCTATGCATCAGGCTTCGTGGTTACAAACAGTCAATTTGGCCACACCTGTTACCGATTTGTTGTTGTTACATATTCACCACCGCACTTGAAGTGAGGCCTGTCGGCTTCTTCCCCACTACCTGGCTCCTGGGCTAGGTGAATACCAGCCTCAGACCTAATTCTGGCCTGACAGCTTGTTCAGACAGACATGCGGGCATGCAGGGACGACGTTAGTTGAGCAGTTCTGTCTGCACACGTCTGTCCCTGAGTGGCTTCAAGTCCGCTTTGTCTACAAGGTTCCTGTGGGGAGGGCACAGTACTGTTCCAGGGGCAGATCCAGTTGACCCAGCACCAGGGAGTCAGCATCCTGTGTCCTGTGGGCTGGGGACAGGCCCACTTAGAGTCCAGCCTAGGCTGGGCGTGGTGGCTCACGCCTGTAATCCCAGCACTTTGGGAGGCAGGAGGACTGTTTGAGGCCAGGAGGTTGAGACCAGCCTGAACAACATAGTGAGACTCTGTCTTTATTCATTAAAAAACAAAACAAAAAACCACGGCCCAACGGGGTAGCTCATGTCTGTAATCCCAGCACTTTGGGAGGCCCAGGCAGGAGGATCTCATGAGACCAGGAGTTTGAGGCAAGCCTGGGCAACATAGTGAGAACTCATCTCTATAAAAATAAAATAAGCTGAGAGGGGTGGTGCATGCCTGTAGTCTCAGCTACTTGGGAGGCTGAGGTGAGAGGATTGCCTGAACCCAGGAGGTTGAGGCTGCAGTGAGCTGTGATTATGTTACTGCACCCCAGCCTGGACAACAGTGAGACACTGACTCAAAAGACCAGCTTACAGCATTACAGAGGGTGAATCTTTTTTTTTTAGTTGGAGTCTTCCTCTGTCACCCAGGCTGGAGTGCAGTGGCACACTCGGGCCACTGCAGCCTCGACCTGCTGGGCTCGGGTGATCCTTCCACCTCAGCCTTCCAAGTAGCTGGAACCACAG